ACAAAATGGTATTTAATGTTTGAATTTCTTAAAAAATGACAAAATTTGAAAGCTGAGACCTTTTTTGTCCCTAACGTAACCTGCTCTGTCTTGTCTGTCAGCGTGTTGTCAGTTTCCTCTTTGCTCCGCAATGTATTTTTCACTACCTGAGAACATGTATGGAGTCAGAGAGGACATAGCAACAGTAACTAAAAGGGGGCAGGAACAAAATAAATCACGGAGACGTCTATTTGACAGTGTTTATAAGAAAGTGTCTGGTGCATATAGAGAGAAAGAAGTGTGTTTCTACAGGTGGTTTGTCCAGCCCACTCACCTGTGTGTAGCACACTCAGAATTGCACAATGTTTTCAACACAGGAAGAGCCACCAAACGTTCTATCAGGAGCATACGATTCTGAACCTGAGGCATGTACTCACTGCAGGGACCGGAGGAGCGCTGGATTTCATTAAAACACAGGGCAACATAGTGAGACACTAGATTAAACTGAGCGGAGCACAACCACCCATCTGCCCTCCAGGTGATAAATGTCATAAACAAGCCGCGTGTGCTTTTGCAGCCTCTGGCTAGACGCTCGGCCGGATGTGATAACCATGGCAACCAGCGCTGGATGACACCCACGTCCTCTCGGTCCCCGCAGAGACGCGGCGCGCTCCCCTGTGCCACAGGTCATGAAGCTTTCAAAAGGGCCAAGTTTGAGACTGAGATGTTTCCAGACAAGGGGTTTGCATATCAGTGATTGCTGAACTCTGTTCAGTGCTAATGAGGAGCGGCACTTCTCAAGATGAGTGTGAAAACTCACAATCACAATGCTTGAGTGGTCTGGGTGGTTGCTAGGGCTTTTCAAAGTGGTTGCTAGGTTGCTCAGAGTGGTTTTATTGTCCTTGCAGTTGTAAAGCTGTTCAAAGTGTTTTTAATGTGTTTCTATGCGATTACTGGGGTGTACTGAATAGATGTTAGGGTGTTTGTAGGCAGTGCTGATTACATGTAATCTGGATTACATAACCAAAAATTACTTATAATTAGATTCTATTACATTTTAAAATACTCATAATCAGACTACAGTTACTTTTTTTGAATGGAATATACAATGAATTAAATATATTGTCTTTCTCTTTGCATTTTCATATCAATATATTACAAGACTGTCCTATTTAAAGGATTAGTTCACTTCCAGAATAAAAATGTCCTGATAATTTACTCACCCCCATGTCATCCAAGATGTTCATGTCTTTCTTTCTTCAGTCGAAAAGAAATTAAGGTTTTTGAGAAAAACATTCTCTACACGATCCCAGCCGAGGAATAGGGGTCTTAGCGAAACGATCGGTCATTTAAAAAAAAAAATAATAATACAAATTTATATACATTTTAACCACAAATGCTCATCTTGCACTAGCTCGACTTCAACAATTTCCTAGTCACACAGGAAAGGTCACGCGTGACATAGGTGGAAGTATCGACCCAGTGTTTACAAAGCGAACGTGCAAAGAAAGTCAAACGCCCTTTACAAAAAAGGTAAAACAACGATGGCGGACGATTTCGAAGTTTTTCGCCCTACCCTAACTTTCTGAACCGGAGCACAAAGATGAAGAAATAACCATGCGTGACCTTTTCAACATGATTACGTAATGCGTAAAGTCATAGACACGCAGCGCAGAACTAATTCAAGATGAGCATTTGTGGATAAACATATACATTTTCATTTTTTTTAGAAAATGACCAATCGTTTCACTAGATAAGACCCTTATTCCTCGGCTGGGATCGTGTAGAGACCTTTGAAGCTGCATTAAAACTGCAGTTTGGACCTTCAACCCGTTGATTCCCACTGAAGTCCACTACATGGAGAAAAATCCTGGAATGTTTTCATCAAAAACCTTAGTTTCTTTTCGACTGAAGAAAGTTAGAAATGAACATCTTGGATGACATGGGGGTGAGTAAATTATCAGGAAATTTTTATTCTCGAAGTGAACTAAACCTTTAAATCAATGAGATAGATGTGTTAGGTCAAAGGTAATCTAAAAGTAATCAAAAAGTAGTCAGATTATGCTACCTAAAATATGTAACGTAAGCATTACATTACTAAATTAAGCATTAGCCTTAGTTCTGGCAGGTCACGTGAGTCAAGCTTTCATCAGCTGATTCTCAGCTGATCACATCTACCTATAGGAATACGACACCTATCACAGCATTCCTATATAAGCTCTATTCAGTATTATTCAGCAGCTTTTCAGCTTGCTCCGGAGCAAATTACCCTCCTCCATCCCCAGCTCCTCCTTTCGCCACAGTCAGGACTTGGCTTTCTGATATTCCTTGCTAATCAGACTCCTTTATCTTGAATAAAGTGTTACACTTAAATATCATTAAGTACATTAATGATATCTGCCTTGTTCTGTTCTGTTAGCCCTAGGGGGGTTATTATTGCTGCTCTCCCTGCTCATTCATGACAGGCTGCATGGATGGGCAGGGAGTTTTTTTGCCCAGAACAGAACCATACCGCCAAACCAAACTTTATGCTAAGTATCTATCATTTTGACGATAGTGGTCCTGACAGAACTACAATTTTTGTAATGTAATTTGGAATCAGTAATGGACTACAATTTGTAAGTAATCTACCCAGCACTGATTGTTTGGGTTGGTTGCTAAAGCATTTCTAGGCGGTTGCAATGAGTGGGTGATTGCTAGTTCAGCTTTATGTGTCGTTTATGTATAGTTATTGCTATGCAGTTGTAAAAGTGTTACATGTGTTTTTTAATATGCTGCTATGCATTTGCTAGGGTGTTATGTGGTTGCCAAGAGTTTTTTTTTTCTTCTGTTGTTGGTTGTTAAAGCATTTGGTTGCTAAGTTGTGCTGAGTAGTTGACAGGTATTTACTATGCAGATGTTAAGGTTCTCTAAATGTTGCTTGGGCATTTCTAGATGGTTTCTAGACTATTTATGTAGTTACTAAGCTGAGAAGAGTTTAGTTGGTTGATATGGTGTTGCTGGTTTATTCTGGTTGCCTGCAGTGAGCTTGCTAAGGTGTACAGTGTCTTCTTTCTTGCCATGTTGTGACACTGATTGTAGCATTTTTGGGGTTGTTGCTAGGGCGTCTCTACTGTAAGTGGTTGCAATAGTGTTCTGGAAAGGATGTTGCTGTACAGTTTCTAATGTGTAAAGCCCTAAACACACTGCACGATTTTCGGCTGTCCCTGACGAAAGATTGGCATCGTGAAACAATCGTGGGGATTTCTGTGATCATGGCTCCTAATCGGTGGTCCTGTGTCGTACAGTGAGAGAGGTTCAAAGACGGCCTTTGTCACGATCTTGCTACCAAATATAGCCTACGATAAAGCGTGATCGGTGCACAGTGTGTTTGCTGGTACGATCCACGTTTACTTACCGACCAATAAAAATGCGACATGAAATCAACGCGATCATAGCGCTAAAACATAAAACTGCTTACCTCAAGCACTTCCTCTTTCGCCGCTTCCACTGTTTTTCAGCACACATAAAAAATACAACTGCTAAAGTGTGATTTATCATGCTTTTTGTTTACTACTAGGGCATGCTGATGACGTTTTATTCTTCTATAGGAACGTGCATCATAGCGTACGAGTCAACAGGTGCCATCATCGTACAGTCTACACACACGTCGTAGCCAAGATTATTAGATCCATGTCGCACAGTGTGACATGCAATGATCTTATTGCTAAAATCGTGCAGTGTGTTTAAGGCTTAAGGACTGTTTTTAGCATATTGCATTTCTAGGTGCCACAAGTCAAAAGAGCCCACCCTCAAATCACTATCACTCCATCATATTCTGTCTGTGAATATGACAAGGTCCATTTTAGAAGTCTAGAGAATGTTTTCACCCATTTTATTATAAGCCAGCCGTACATCTGACCAACTGAGCAACAGGCTAGTAATCTCTGTTGAAAAAAAAACAGCATATGCTGGTTGGGTATGTTTTGAAGCATGGCAGCTGGTTTGAGCTGGTTTAAGCTGGTCCTGAGCTACTATCTCCTGCTCAGCACCAGCTTATAACCAGCTCAGGACCAACTAAGAACCAGCTTAAATTAGCTGCCATGCTTCAAAACATACCTAACCAGCATATGCTGGTTTTTTCAACATGAATAGTGATGCCTGCCTTTGCAAACAGCACCATTAACAAACACCTTGACTGATCTCTTGATGAGAAAGCTGTCCCCCCAAACTAATTCTTGTTGACGCCAGTAGCAGGTGTCGACATGAAAGTGACTAATCTGCCTTTACAACTCCAGCTATGATCATCTCTGCCATACTAAAGCTCAGGCTCATTTATTCATCACAGTTCAGCTGCGCGACAGATATCACGCTATGTAGATTTGAGAATGCAGCGACGGGGAAATTAAGACATTTAATTATTCCCTGGGTTTGTCACTTGTCTGAATGTTTGTTCATGTTATGCATGTACTTTACACTGTATTTTTAGCACATGCTTTGAGAATTTTGTTTTGCTGTATCCAATGTTCTATATTTTTTACAGAATACATGTAACGTTAAAGGGATTGTTTACCCAAAAATGAAAATTCTGTCATTTACTCGCCCTCAAGTTGTTCCAAACCTGTATGAATTTCTTTTTTCTAGGAACTTTTTTCTACCAACACACTGATCCAGCAAAACCCAGCAACCATGTTTGTTGGAGTTTGTTGTGACAATGTGAATTCAACCTAGACAGCATAATAGCAAACTAAGTGGCGTCTGTGTTCAAATGCTGCAGGATGTTTTCTCTTCACTAACTTCACTTTTCGTCATCATTTGTGCTCAGTGTCTTTTAATTCTCTGTTGTTGTGGTGACTGTAGTGGAAGTATGAAATCAGTTCTCCTCAAGTTCACACAGGTGTCCTAACAGAGGAACCGCAGGAGTAGAGAATCACATTAAATATGACCTACTAACATCTGACAAGCACACAAGTGTCACAATATCTTTATCTTCATTTGACCCTCCATCTGTTTGTGCGTCTGTTCGTGTCTGTCTGTTGCAGACCATACTAGTTGGAGACAGTGGAGTGGGGAAGACGTCTCTGTTAGTGCAGTTTGACCAGGGAAAATTCATCCAAGGATCCTTCTCTGCTACTGTGGGCATCGGCTTCACGGTGAGTCTCTCTGCAGAAGGTCACAGATCATTTTTTCTCAGGACACTCAGGTGACTTGACTTTTCTCCAGCACAGGACCGGATACACTGCACAAAAATAAAAATAAATAAATAAAATAACCTTAAAACAAGATACATTTACTTACACTCTAAAAAATGCTGGGTTAAATACAACCCAGTGCTGGGTAAAATAGGGACAAACCCA